CACTTTCCATTGTCTAACTTCAGAGAAGACTCTGAGGGAGCAGTTGTGGCTCCAAATGTCTCTGCTGGACCTCAGCTCAAGTTTGCAGTGACTTCCTCTGTCTCACTCAGATTCCTCATTATCTGGGCTGTGACTTTTTCTACCCCCAGCCCTCTTACTTGCTGTGCCTTCGTGTCCCATGGTGTCTTCCCAATTCACCTTGAGGGCCAGGCAAGATGTCATGTGATTGGCCCTCCAGTTCCTGGTGAATTTAGAAATTGCTTCAATTCCTGCATCTCCACAAGACTCTGAAACTAAGCAGACAGCAGAAGAACCCAGCACTGGCAGAAAGTCCTGGCAGATGCCCTGTGTCATTCTTAACGGGTTCTTTTTGGGATACTGCATACTGATCTCTAGATTGCACCTTCCCGGTTGATGCTGTATTTTATCATGTTAGTACTGTTTCAAGATTAAAATATCTTCTTTTTTTCTGGGCACAGTGACCCTCCCTTGCAATCTCAGTGCTGGGGTAGTTAAGAGAAGGGTTGCCATGGGGTTGAGGCCAATCAAAAGGAAAAAAAAAAGGGATTTCCTTCAAATGATTTCATTTTGATTGTTGTACATTAAAATGCAATATTTGAGTCAAATAGCTGTTGCTTTTATTATACTCTTTTTTTTTCTAATGAGCAGTGAATCATCTTCTCATCATTCTTCCTGCTTAGGAAATAACCACTTTCAGGTAGTCCTTGCGGGAGACAACTGTACCCCCAGCTACTCTGGAGCCTGAGGCAGAAAGAGCTCTAGTTGAAGATCAGCCAGGCACTTAGTGAGGTTCCGTCTCAAAATAAAAAGCAAAAAGAGGGCTGAGGATGTAGCACAGTGTCTAAGCACTTAGCTACGGGCAAAATAAGTAAAATAAAAATGAAGTAGTTGCTACTGCCTTTCACCTGGTGTCCCCCTCCCCACGTCCCTTGATGTGGTTACTCAGAGCTTCCCAGGGTCCCGTCTCCTCCTTGTAGTTCACAGGATTCAAGTTGCATCAGTACTTCAAGTTTGTGTGTGTGAGGACCCAGAGCCTTGAACAAAAGCTGTGGTCGAGTCATTTCTGTGTGTCCCTTCTACTTGAAGTTAATCACGGTGCTTTGGTGGATTCCATGTGTTTATCAACGCTAGACTCTTGTCTCCTTCGTCAGCCCCCATGGGTGCATGGTTTGTGGTCCTGAAGGCCCCCTTTTTCTCTCCCGCTTCTTTTTGAAGCACACTTGTGTGGACTAGTAGCTTCCAGGGAGTGTGGGTGTGTGAGAGGTGGATGTTTGTAGGCTGTGTGTCTGAAAACTGTGGGTCTTGTCTCCATTCTCCTGCTTCAGTCTCATAGCAATCCTGATGCGAGTGGATTGTTCTGCATCTCAGGTATTGGTCCTTTTGGTCCGGGGGTAATCCGCTGGGTTTTAAGCTGATGGTCCTCTCTGCTATGTTTTGGGGGAGTTTTATTACCTGGGTGTTGGGCCTCCTAACAGAACTTTCTTGTCCCTTATTCTTGCTGTTTGTTTTGGCTTGGCTTGGGTTGACTTGACACTTTTCTTGATCTCTGGGAGATCTCTTTACCCCAGTATCTCATCTCGTCCCTTTACTGAGTCTTCCTTTCCTTCCATAAGGCTTTATCTTTGCCAATGATGTACTTCCTGAGAACTGTTTTTAATACGGCTGCAATACATTGTCTCTTTTTAAAAAAATATTATTGAAATAACATCTTTTCATTTATTTCACATACCGAGGGCAGTTCCCCCTCCCTCCGCTCCTCCCGTGTCTCCCCACTTCCATTTGCCCCCCATCCACTCCTCCTTGGACTCCAATGATGCGGTCTCTTAATTCAGACTGTGTGCTTGCCACCCTCCAGGTGCATTTCTACTTACTTTGCTCTCTCAGTCTTGAACCCTATGCTCTCTGCGAGTGCCTTGAAGATCCTTGGTTTGTCAAGATTCGGGAGGAGGGCTTTAAGAAACAGACTGGCAGCCCCGAGTGCATACATGAGTCGTCCTCGTCATAGCTGACCACAGGGAGAACCTGTGTCATCCGGTTCTGCTCTTGGTTCGTCGGCTCCCTCAGTCTCCTGCCTTGTGAGCAAAAGCTTAGCTACCAGCGGTCTGGGACCCAAGTAAGAGAGGATGCCCGTGGTCCCAGCATACTTCATGCCCACACTTACCTAGTCCTGCCCTCCTACCGTTCCCTCCTCTACCCCCACACCCTTCTTGTGCACCTTTTCTGTAAGCTACGGTTATTTTCCAGGGGCTGTGGAAGATGGGCAGATAGTACAGATGTATAAACTAGGGAAGGCAACCCGTGGATCTGACCACTTTCGGATGCTTAGCTAGGACAGCTTAGGTTCAGTATGTCCCCCATCCTAGAAACTTTTGCAGCCTACTTCTCCACTGTGAAGCGTTAATCTGATAATCTTATCAGTAAAAGTTTGGAATCAAATATTGGGGTAAGAACCAGAAACATCAGAGAACGGGAAGCAGCCACCAGTTACTTCCTACCTCTCTCGTTCCTCTGTCCAAGGGGCCCGAGATCCTCTCTCTGCCCCACCTTACTGCTTTCTGTCTTCTCTATCTATACTCCTCCAAACCTCTATGGTTAGCTAGTGGCTAGCTCCACCCTCTGACTCCAAGCAAACTTCATTTGTCAGAACACAATCAAACTATCACACAATTGCCCACAAGATGTTTGTCTATGCTATCATTTGCCACCTTTGTCAGTCTTTGCGGAGCTTCCTGTATTTCGTAGCTATTTTGTCTTATTTTCTTCATTCCTATTGTTTCTGCCTTAAACTAAATAAACTAAGCCAGTTTTTATCTGAGTACAGTAGGGCATGCATATCTGTCATCCTAGCATTGGTAGGAGGATTGGGAGATCAAAGCCAACCTCATCTACATAACTACATACCAAATTCAGTGCCACCCTGAATCACATGACAGTCTCTGTCAAAAACAAAATAATAGCATTTACTGTTCCTTAATAGTGTTGGGGGTGGGCGTGTAGAAGCAGTCTCCATTCAGGGTTCCCTTTTCACCTGGAAGTCTCTGTATGGCTGCAGTTTTGCTGACCCCAAGGTCCTTAGATAGCCCAGGCTGGTCTGAGCTCAGTATGTAGCCAAGGACAACCCTGAATTTCTGACCTTCCTGCCTCTACATCCTGAGTGCTGACACCACAGGTGTATGCATATGAGGCAAACACTCTAACCCTGATCTACATCCCTAGCACCTAGGGTTTCCATTCCTCTTTAAACAAAGCCCCAGGTATCCACAGTAAACTCTGAAAAGAATGCTGTAGGTAGTGACTATCCCAGCCCGTCTATTTAGATTTTTTTCTTCTCCCTCTCTCTTTACATCAAAGCTTTTCAAGAACAATCATACAAGGGGCTGGATAGGTGATTGGTGCTTAAGAGCACACGCTGCTCCCAGGTTTCAGTCCAAGCACACACATAATGGTAGCTCTCGACCATCTGTGACTCCAGTTCCCAGGGATTTCATGCCGTCTTCCGACCTCTGCTGGCACTGGATACACACACATAAAATAAGTACATCTTAAGAAGTTGTGTGTAGTGTGTAGTGTGTAGTGTGTATGTGTGTGTGTGTGTGTGTGTTGGCAGCTCCCAAATAAACACACAGAGGCTTAATATTAATTATAAGTGCTTAGCTTGCATTGTTAAGTAGCTAACTCTTATATTTTCAGTTAGCCAATATTTTTATCTACACTTTGCCACGTGGCTTGGTACCTTTTCTCAGTAAAGCATGCTCATCTTGCTTTTCTCTACATCTCTCACTGCTGTTCAGACACACACACCGCCCCCCCCCAGCATTTTCAGTTTGCCTCTCCACCTAACCTTATTCTGTTCAGCTATTGGCCAGTCAGCTTCTTTATTAAACCAATCACAGTGACATATGTTCACACAGTATAAAGGAATATTCCACGTGTGTGTGTGTGTGTCTGTGAGAGAGAGAGAGAGAGAGAGAGAGAGAGAGAGAGAGAGAGAGAGAGAGAGAGAGAGAGCGCGCACACATGCATGTGTATACCCAACTCTCGAGAGGAAGGCGTGTGTATCCCAGGGTATTTGCAAACTCACTAAGCTTGCCATGTAGCCAAAGATTACCTACTACCATGCCTTACCCTATGAACTATCAGTTTATAGCAGACACTTCTGTAAGAATGTCATGCTAAATCTGATGATGTGTTCAGATTTCAGAAACAGGAAGTTTTACTTCCTCATCTTTGAAACAAGAGAGACCTAGGATTATAGATTATCCATCATTTATTTGAGAAAAGCCTCCTCTAATGTCTGGACAAGTAGAGACTATATCCTGAGCTGGGGTTGGAGTCCTGGGTGCTGCGAGCTCTGTCTGTCAGCTTTGTATATGCTCAGAATGATAGGGTGATTGACTGAATAGTTAGAAGGATGAAGGTAGGACCCACATCTCCACAGCTAATTGGTTGTAAAGTCAGGACTAAAACCTAGGCACTTCCTTTCTGTAATTTCATATTTTCCAACTGTATCCATCTTAGAGTGACTTTAATTGAATTCAGACAAAATAGTTGGATTACAGCAAAGGAATGATCATTCCTCATTTATTCATTTGTTCATCAAATATCTCCCATGTTTCCCTTTTCATGCCAGGCATGGAGGAAGAAGAGGATGTCTTCTTGTATGTGTGGCAGCCCGAGGCCAGCACCCTTCTGTGTCTGCGGCTACGTGGCCACCTTAGCACCACCCTTTAGAGTTAGCCTTGCTGGAGGCTTCACACCAATCCCTGGAGGAGACCCAGACCTCCCCAGCTGCCTGCAAACCGGCATCTCTTGTACTTCCTCTGAGGCCTGCAGTCATTCCCCTTCAGGTGGCCTGACTTGACTCAAGGATGAGCTATTGCTGGTTTGTCCCCAAGGCTCTGCAAGTGGCTTGAGAGAACTAGAATTGCGTAAGGTCCAGAGCCTCACAGTGCCTCATGACAATTGCTCTCTGTTTATAGGGTGCACGAGCTGGTATTACTATGTGAACATGCCCATGCCAGCCTCCACCTTCACAATTGCAGTGGGATACTGGACAGAAATGAAGCCCAAGACATCCCCACCAGATGACCTGGTGGCAGAGCGCCCTCTCCCGCCTTTGAAAGCTGACTTCAGGTTTGTATTTGGGAGTTTTCTGACTTCACCTTGGGATTGTGAGTCATCCCTGCTGAGAAACTGAGCCAGGATGAACCCAGTTAAAACAGGGAAAGGCCTACTGGAAAAGAGAGAGCTGGCTTTGTTGCTCATAAAGAAAGAGAAGAAAACAGGTGGGTGTGAAATCCTCTGTGATGTCAGGGGAAACATTTCTACGTGTTTGTTCAAACTGAAAAAGCTGCAGATTGAACTCTTTCCCTTCTACCCTTTAGATGTCAGTCTTAGTGCCTGATCAAAAATGGGTGAATAAAGCAAAGGTGCTCAGTGAAAGGAAGTGTGCAGTGAGGGAAGGGTGCAGTGAGGGAAGGGTGCAGTGAGGGAAGGGTGCAGTGAGGGAAGGGTGCAGTGAGGGAAGTGTGCAGTGAGGGAAAGGTGCGGTGAAGGAAGGGCGCAGTGAGGGGAAGGGCGCAGTGAGGGAAGGGTGCAGTGAGGGAAGGGTGCGGTGAGGGGAAGGGTGTGGTGAAGGAAGGGCGCAGTGAGGGGAAGGGCGCAGTGAGGGAAGGGTGCGGTGAGGGGAAGGGTGCGGTGAAGGAAGGGCACAGTGAGGGGAAGGGCGCAGTGAGGGAAGGGTGTAGTGAGGGAAGGGTGCAGTGAGGGAAGGGTACAGCGAGGGAAAGGGTGCGGTGAGGGAAGGGTGCGGTGAGGGAAGGGTGCGGTGAGGGGAAGGGTGCGGTGAGGGGAAGGGTGCAGTGAGGGAAGGGTGCAGTGAGGGAAGGGTGCGGTGAGGGGAAGGGTGCGGTGAGGGGAAGGGTGAGGTGAGGGGAAGGGATACATGGCAAGTTCAACAGCCCTGAATGCGACCTTGCCTCAAACAAACAAAGCAGAGAAAGAAACCAATGGCGACATGTTGGTGTCTGTCTTTTTGTGCTGGTCTTTCTTTATTGTTGCTTTTATTCTCACCACAGTGGCTCTGGTGCTTTCCTTACGAGCCGACACCGGGTGGTTTCTCCTCTGACAAGCACATCTTACTGCCTACGTTATGCCTTTTTGGCAGCATAGAACTATTTTCTACTCTTTGCTCAACAATATGTCAGTTTTGGAGTCTTTCCTAATGGCTCAGGAAAGATTATTAAATTTTATATGCGTTTTCTCAAGGGAGGAAGGTAATTGTGGACAGAAGTGGCACACACTGCTTTCATGTGGGAATACTTAATTGCAAGAGAGACTCCCTAGTGATCCCTTCTCTCGCTGTGGAACCAAACAGCAGACTTCATTTTGTGACTGTAAATAGTCCAAATTTCTGAGTGAGAAATGCATCTTCTTGTGGTAAGGCACTGGCATGTGCTGCAGGGTTTGTGACTGTTGCGCATCCTAGATGATCCTGAACCCACATGGAAGCCATTGGCTGACTACAGCCATTGTTCTATAGTCTGTAAGATGTGTTGGCTCTGCCGCTATCAGTCATAGATGAGGAAGAAGCTCGGACAATAATTCGTTTACTTTCCTGCCGACTGAGCAACAGTACCTGTATTGATTCACACCAAGTCTAGTCTCTAGAGAGGCAACCGAGACTCTTTCCTAGAGACTACAATGACTCAGCCACCTCAGAAGGCATCTCAGGGCCATCATCTCACCTGGAGTCACAACCACGACTTAGCTATTGGTACTTACAGCATTCGAGGAGTGCAAGAGGGCTCAGTGGAAAGGCTCTTGTCATCATGCCTGATGGCTTGAGTTCAGTCCCCAGAACCCGCATCCTGGAAGGAGAGCGCTAACTTTTGAGAGTCATTCTCTGACCTCTGCATGAATCCCTTGTTGTCAAACATACAAAATAAATATAATTTTTGAAAAAGAAAGCACAAACCGAGGATCCCTTGGGCCCAAGAATGCTGTCCTTGTTGCCTGGATATGGAACCGTGGCGGGCCCACACTTTTTTTGTTTTGTTTTGTTTTTCACAATGAAGACTTTGTCCGTGAATTCTTGGTGGTGAAGAAGATCTCTGTTGTTCATCTATAGTCTCAGGTCTCGTTGATCATCAGGAGATGAAAGCCAAGAGATGAGGCTGAGTTGGGGCCCTTCTCAGGATAGTGGGAATCCCTTTTCGCTTGTCTCTGCCGTGGTGAACAGAAGAGAGGATGGCCAGGTCAGACGGGGGACCTGGGGCAAAGAAAGCTGCGCAAGTCCCTGTTGGGGCCTGGGGAAGGAAAACCCTGCCCCCCCTTCCGCCTTGCGTGTTTGGAACCGGCTGAAGAGCATACAGAAGAGAAAGAAGGCAAAGTCTGCTCCCTGACAAGTTGGGCTGAGAGAGCCCCCGGGTACCAGGTTTCCTAACACTTCACGTCAGTTACCAACCAGGTCGATGGGGTATCCACAGCCAGACAGCAGATCCCAGAAAATGCTCATTTGATGATCAGGTCCCCAAATGCCAGCCAATCAGGGAAGCTAGGGGCAGCTTGTTGCTTTGTGGGAAAGCTCCCAGGAGTTTTGCTCAGTGTTGCTATGTGCAAGGGTTGAAGCGGGGTAGTGTTGTGGAATGAACTCCTCCACACTTCCCTTCCCTAACTGACAGTGCAGTTTCCTTTTGTTTACCTGCATGCTTGTCCATCAGAAATGTACAGCCAGTGAAGCATTAGCTTGGATTTTTTTAACTCTGCTATGCCCTCATGCCTCATATGCCCACCTCCGGTAGTCAGAGTGGCTCTGTGTATGCGCCACATCCCTGGCTCCACGGGTTGAGCGGCCCTGTTGTGCCATCGTACCATGTTGGTATTTCTGGCCATGCTCACATCTGATGAGGCCCGCCTTCCCAGCCCTCCTTCCCACCAGCCTCATACATGTCAGTCTAACGTTCACAGGAGGCTTGCTTACACACCATGGCTTCCGTTTTCCCTAGTGTTTATCTGGGTTCTAGAAATTTAGCCCAAGAGTTGGACTAAACTTTTGGTCACCATTCACAGGATTCACAGAAGCTAAGTTACGACGGGGTGGGGGCACTCTGCCAGTGCACTTGGAATGAAAATTTTAGTAAACACACAGGCTGAAGACAGGTAAACAGTCCAACGTGCATTTGTTTTATTTGGTCCCAGCCACAGGAGAGTCTTGTTTTGTGTCTAACCTCTCAGGCCTTCATCTTGGGTCATACAGCCTAAGCTTGGCATGGAAGCTCGGATGGCCTCCGGTAGAACACAAGGAAAGTGATTAAAGACATTGAAAAACTGGCACCATGTTAAAGACACTGAGCTGACTCATTCTGCAGAAGGGACGGCAGGGTGGGGAAACGCTGAGGGAGAGCCACCACGAAAGGGAGAGAAAGGATCTCCAGTTGCCACTGGGCCTGTGCTAACTGTGCTAAGCCCTGCATCCCCTTAGCTGCTGCGTGAACGGGGCCACACAGAGCGACCAGAGTCATCTCTGCAAGAGGAAACCTTGGGAAGCATTTCAGTGTGTGATTGACGCCCACTGTGACATTCTGCAGGCTGTTTCAGTCCACCGTGAACACAACCTGACTGAGGACATTCTGTCATATCAGAGTCCCCTCCTACTCTTCCTCATCTGCCACACCGGTGACACCAAGGAGAGATGAAGGGAAGGGGGCACCAAATACTGAAGACCTGGCTGTGGTCGCAGCTGACCTGAGCATAGCCACTGAAGCCCAGGAGTGCTGGGCCTCACACAGGAGCTCACAGGTGGCACCCCTCATGCATTTCTATCCTGCCAGGAGCCTCACTGCCTTAGTCCACCTGCAGCTCGACTGCTTGAGTTTTATGGAAACGGTATTGAGTCATGTATCGAACAGTAATCACCCTCATTTGTTTGGCGAGCGTCAAGTATACCTGGAAAGAAAATAATTTATCTTTTCCCTCAAACAAACAGGATTGTCTGGTATACCTTTGCCATCTTCACTCTGTTCCTTAACCTCTGGCTTCCTTAAGTGTAAGAAATAATCTCGCTCCACTGGAATAGGCCGTTTCTAGATAGAATGCCTCTCTGTACTGCGGCATTGTGGTGTTCAGTCCTTAAACTTACTCCCCTGCTCTGTCTGGAGAGTTCCATCTTGAGGTAACATGCTTTGAAGGCCCCTCCGAAGGTTTTTGAGACGAGGTCTTGATGTATAGCCCAAGCTGGCTTGGGACTAAGGATGTAGTCCAGGCTAGTGTCGAATCCACAGCACTCCCAGCCCAGCCTCCCCGTGTACCCTGTCACCACACTTGCTTTCTGAAAGCCTTTCGGGGGTGGCTTTATGAGGCAGGGTCTTCATGTAGCCCATACTTGCCTTGAACTCCTCATTCTCGTCTCTACCTCCCCCCAAGTGTTGGCTACAGACTTATAAGCATATGCCACCATTGTCAGTTTGTAAAAGCTCTTCAATAGAGAGCGTGTGAGCTTAAAATACCACAGGACATTAATTTCCTGTGTAAATACATCTTAAAAAGTCCCACGGAGGCTGACCAGGTGGCCTCTGTTTGTCTTCATTAGGTAGGTGTTGAATGCTCACAAGCAGACACCTTGCTGACGTTTTCAGTCCCGGACTGTGACTCAAGTTCAATGCCAGAGGCTGTATTCTTGCTGTCACTCTATCCTGGCAGTTTTCATGGGTCCCCACTTTCTAACCCACCCCCAAACATAACCTGGCCTCACTGGGGCGTATTCTTGAAGCACATTGGTGGGAGGTGAGGCCTGTTCACATAGCTGTGTGGATCTCTTGATCGCAGGCCCTGGGTGGGTGGCAGATACTTCATAAGTCTAAAGAGGAATTGTTGTTGCAACCTGCCCCAATTGAGGCAGGCAGGCGCTTAGAGATTCTGCAGTATTGGTGGTGAATCACAGGAGCATGCAGAGCCAGAATTATAATCTGCAATTTAAAGTTAACAGGGGTTTTCCATTGTGTCTGAATCGAGGACATGTTAGCAGATGAAAAAATAGAATTCTCTTTGATGTTGGTTTCTTTGGATATGTAAGTTCTCTTGAGGCCTGTGAGTCAGGCCCTAGGAATTTTCCTTCGGCTCCACCTTTGACTTTTAGGGAGTAACTAGTCAGATGGTGCTGACCAGACTCCGGTCTTGCTTCCTTAGAAGGTTGATTTTGTTAAATTTACAATGAAAGTTCATTGGAAAGGAACTGGAGACAGAGCTCCGTTGGTAGAGTACTTTCTGAGTGTGCAGGAAGCTCTGGGTTCGAGTCCCAGCATCACATAAATCAGGCATATGCCAGTAATTGCAGCATAGAAGAGGCAGAGAGAGGCAGGATGATGAGGAGCTCAAGGCCATTCTCAGCTGTGAGGTGAGCCTAGAATGCATGCGACCCTGTCTCAAACACCCTGAAGGTGTAGTGGAGAAAACACTTAGACGTGCTTCTGTTTTTCTCAGCAACAGCTTCTGATACGTTTGATCAGAACATGAAGGATGCCTAGGTTATTTTTTGATAGCATGGTTTGCGTGTTTTTGAAAGCTGTACTTGTAACTGCCTTTGTCCTACCTCATCCCAAATCATTTACTGTAGGATATTCCAGAATGGAATCATTAATTTGCTTAGAACCATGTACATAGTGGCTCAGCCTGTAATCCCAGCACTTGAGAGGTGAATGCAGAAGAATCAGGAGTTCAGGGCAGCCCTGGCGGCATCATGAGTTCAAAACTACCTGGGTTACATGAGATCTCAAACAATGAAAATTAAATAAATAAAATGGCTACTTCATTGCTCCCAGTTTTTCTATGGTAGCATTTGAAAGCACATTACTGAGGGCATTGATAGATATTTTGGTCTGGTTTTTTTTTTTTTCACTACTGTCCAAATGGGGACAAGCCAGTGATTGACATGGACCACCTCTGCCAATCCAGTTCACCCGTCTGAACCCCTGTCTCCTTGAGGTTGCCCACATGTCATCCCTTGTGTCATTCTAGGTATGCCGGCACCTGCAGTCATGTAGACTATCCCTGCCGATTCCAGAATGCTGCCGCTGCCGCCCAGGAGATCATTCCTCATCGAGTGTTTGCCCCACCGTGCCTCGAGGGTGCCTGCCAAGAGGCCCTGCTGTGGCTGGTCCCTCCTTGCCTCTTAGCTGCGTACTCCGTCCTGGGAACACACCCTTTCTCCCGGCTGGACATACTCATTGTCCCCGCCAACTTTCCAAGTCTGGGGATGGCCAGGTATGCTTCTGGGCATGGCATGTGGAGCACATGCTTCCCAAGTCTGGGGACTTCTAGATGAATGTTTTTCCGCTACCCCATCAGTAGTCTTACTTGCTTAGGATGGAAGGAAGGGGTTCCCGGTTCACTCTTGGATCTCTGACTGCTTCTTTCAGGGGATTGTTTCCCAAGTGCACCCTCCTCCCCGTGCTATTCCCATGAACCTATAGGTATCATGGCCGGAGTGATGTATGTGGGGTTACTCAGTGGCTGTTAGCTTGGGTGATGAGAACTTGCTGCTAATGAGTCCAAGGTCATGGCGTCAGCTCCGCACACGGTAACAAAACCTAGTCTCAGGGCCACAGCTGCTCGCCTAATCCTGACCAGCTGCCTCATCCATTCTCACCACTGGTCACAAGGCAACAACTTTAGAGCCCTGTGTCAGAGAGAACATAAATCCATCCTCACCGCTGGGGAAAAAACGCTAAAAGCAGATGGCTTACCATGGGGGAGGGGTATAGCGACTTGTTCCTATTTTTAATATAGTAAGTGAGCGAAGTGTTCCTACCGTGCCTCCATTTGATCCCGCAGAAAAATGGAGACTTAGAAGCTGACCCTTCACCCTGCATTAACTAGAGCCACACCCATCAGGCCCACCGTCCCTCTACAAAGCGATGGGAGAGTGGCTCTGTCCCACCGAGGAAAGATGGCCGGTGGACCTTGCTTATGCTTCTGTTTGCAAATCCTAATCACTAACAGGGGCAATGACTAGGGATGGGAAAACGAGCTCATCAAACATGTGGCTTTGAGTTTTTCCCTATTAGTCAAGGAAATTCCTTCTGCCAATTAATTTCCATGCTTTTGAACAGCTGTCATTTGTGGTGTTTTCTCCAAAAAAACTGCACACAGTCTTGGTAAAACCCTTGAGTAAAAAAGAGCTGACCAGACATTTGCTTTTGATCTTTAACACACACACACACACACACACACACACACACACACACACACACACACACACACACACACAGAGAGACACACACACACACAGAGACACACACACACAGACACAGAGACAGAGACACACACACAGACACACACACACACCACACAAAGACACACATACCCACACCCCACCCATACACACACACACACACACCACACAAAGACACACATACCCACACCCCACCCATACACACACACACACACACACACACTTTTAACGATGGCTGGCTTGATGTAATCCTTGAGCAGTTCCCAGAAAATCATGTAGACTGATTTTTATCCTGTATTTATGAAGATAATGGGAATGTAGAAACTAGGATAATTATATATGTTTGGTTGTGTGCATCATGTAATTGTCTTGATGTCTATGTAGAGAGTTTGTCTTAACAAGGGGGCTTCTTTGGTCCCTTTGAAGGGCTTCCTGGACTTAATTTAAGCAGTTATTGGTGAGGAAAGGGTTGTTCATTAAATGCTTCTCATTTGTGTATGGTTTTGAGGGGTCACATTTGAGATGTTTTAGCACTTTATGAGTGTTGTTTCTCAGAGCATATTTGCTAACAGGTCCATGTTCTAGCCTGGGGGAACCAAAGGCCGCGTATTTTTCATGCACAGAACCTCTTGATAGCTCCTTGATGCACAGTCTGCCAGAGCTAGAATGTGCTGGCCTGCAGGCCAGTCTATAAGCTTCTCTTTCCAAGTCTGCATGCCCAAGCAGGCCAGCAGTAAGATTTCTGCTTTTTTTTTTTGAGATATTTAAGGTGATTTAAACATGCTTAATGCTGTATTTTTAAAATAAGAAGCCTCAGCGCCTGAAGGCCAAATGGTGCCGGCACAAATATCAACACTGGAGCAGTGCTAACAGCTCAGCAGCCAGGAGACTTCTGTCAGGATTCAGGACAGGGCCGCACAGTTCTCAAACAGCACCTCCCACCCCAGCCCACCCCACCCCACCCCACCCCGTGCACCTTTCCTTATTAGACAGGAAAGAGCCTGCCCTTCCCGGTTGCACGGTTTCCTGCACTTACCTACTTTTCAAAAGAGTGGTCATGGTGTTGTCTACTCCCAGGTGGAATGCAGAATTGGGAGCAGGGGGCTCCGGTTTTCCAAACCCTGATTTAAATTTATTCCACTTACTGGGCTTGTCCTTACAGATCCCTATACCTTGAACCACGTGCAGCTGAGTCTGGGTCCTTGGGCCCTGCTGCTTTATCTATGCTTAAGGCTCTACTGCTCCAAAAGTAGTACGTGTGGAAGTCAACTCTGTGCTCCTCACAGAGATAGGGAAACTCTATGAGTCTCCAAACCACGAGGTACCATTACAGGAGATCTATGCACCAAAACTCACCATGTCCCGATCATTATAGCGTGCTGGGAAGTCAAAGGCCTTCTTGATAAATTAACCGACTCTCTCCTGAGTCCCTGTTTATAAACATGTAGCAGGATCATAAATTCCATAGCTCTGGGCTTCTTTAGCAATTAGGTTTTAATTATAATGAGCACCATTTTAGTATTCCTCTTTGGCAAACAGTATTTGGCATTCCCACATGAACAAAAACAGGCAAATCATTAACTGTGTTAAAGGATTTTTAAAAATGTTTGGATGATACACAGTGTTTTAAGCATCATTCTCCATAGTTTGTATGAATGTGCTTAACTTTCCTCTTGAGCCAAATAAGTGACTTCAGTAAAGTGAGGAAAATACTATTTTTACAACTTTTTAAAGCTTGATAATCAAATCACAAGAAGGTGAATCGTAAACAAACAGTGGCCTAGAACTGGACTCATTTTTAAGGAAAGGGCTTTGGAGGTCTTTTAGCAAAGTGCTTCTCTGTATTTTATTGTGTTGTTTCTGTCACCTTTTACTCCAAAAACCAGAGCTGACCAGCTAGTTCTCCCTCTGTCCCAGCACCTTTCTTACTCACTGTTCAGAGGGGAAGATGCTTTCACTTCTAGTCCAGTGGTTCTCAACCTTCCTAATGCTATGACCTTTAATACAGTTCTTCATGTGTCGGTGACCCAACAATAAAATTGTTTTTGTCGATACTTCATAACTGCAATTTTGCTAATATTTTGGATCATAATATAAATACCTGATATACAGGTGGTCTTAGGTGACCCCTGTGAAAGGATCATTTGACCCCAAAGGGTTCGTGACCCACAAGTTGGGAACCACTACTCTAGTCTGACTTAGGAAACCTGCCAGTTTGCATTTGGTCCCCCATGACCTTCATTTGGGATCCGTGGGCTTTTCTGGTTTTGTTTCCTTTAATTTCTGCCTTCTGCATGTCTTGAAGTGAGTGCTGTGATGTCCCCAGAATGATGACCTCATTTTGAATGAGTCTGCTTTGTGTACGAAGCTCTCCTGCCATTGAGAGTAATACTCTGCCATCTTTGTTATGGCCGCGTGTATTCTCATGTCTCAGCTTGAGATGGACCGGCCAGCCTAACCTCCTGTCATGGAGACATTAATGCAGAGAGTGCTCTTCATCACACATGTGCCCTTTGCTGCAACAGTAGCAATGTCAGTGGAATAATGGCCCAGAATGCGATTTATGAACATTGCTTAAATGAACTCCCCAGTTCTACCTGTGTACCTGTCTATTCCGCCATTTGTCTCTCAGCAGATCGCAGTTACGTCCCGTCTCACCTCTCTCTGTGTTTGCTTTACTGTTTGTCTTTCCGTGGTTCCGTCACGTGTCACAGGACCACCTTTCTTGTCCAGGTGCCTCCCCCACCCCACGTTTGAACTTCAAGACTCCCGTGTGTTATCTCAGTGCCAGGGTGTCACTTGGTACCATCTGAAGCCTGCTCAGCTTCTCAGCTCCACTGTTGACATCTTAGCCTTGCCTCTGCCCACCTGGGAAAGCTGTAGAATGAGGGAAGAAGTAAAGGTAATATGTCTGGCTAAGCTAGCTGGCCGATTCTGCTCTCATCTCCTTTCTGCTGGCTCCCCAGGTTTTGTGTAGCTGTCTCGTTAGTCTTGGTGCATCCCTGCCAAGCATATTGTCTGCATGCAGTACTTAAAGTGCCAAGCCTACAAGGGAAGGGATGTTCTGGGAAGGGAGAAAAATAGAGTACACAGAAGGGAAGATGTGTGCTCCGAAGAAAACAAGACCCAGCTTTGTCAGGGTAGGCTCAGGTCAGCCACGTGAGGACAAGCAGAGACAGTGAGAGCTCAGCTTTGTCTTAGGATCATGGCTGCTGTACTGTCTCATGACCTGCTAGTTAGAGCCCCACGGCTTAGCAGCTGCTGTCCTCAAACAGAGTCTCCGTTTTTGGAACTGGCACAGTACCTGGCGCTCAGACTAGAGACTACCCGTGCCAGGGGAGAAAGATGACCCCCATGAAGACATTCTCTTCACCTGGTGACTGCTTTGTGATTTCTTGCTTATACCAGAGCTCATGTAGGGGCTCAGGGTGGGGGTGGGGGAAAGCTGGGCGTATATATTTGCTCACCTAAATTTTTAAGGGTTTTTTTTATTATTCCTTGTTGAAAAAAAATAATGTTGACAAAGAGTTTAGAGAAATAATTACTCAAATAGTCACAATGTTCTTCATGGTGGAGAAATACCGTAAAGCCCCTTATTACAACAACTTGTTCTTAAAAGATTGGGTTGTGCAATAGAAGCCTCTGCATGCTTATCCTAGCTCCTGACTCTGCATGCAGAGTTTTCCTAAGTACCTCAACTGCAGATAGGCGCCCTGCACATACATGCCCAGGAATGATGGAAGCCAGTTTGCCCCACCCCTCCCCCTGGAGTTAGACAGGGTGTTGTCTTGTTTGTTCTTATCTCCCAGCCAATGGGTAATAGAATAAGCAGAGCACAACACACTGCTTGCTACAAAGGGCCTGTTGTTTCCAGCCTTCTGACCGTGCCCCTTTCTGCCAGGGAGGAAGCAGTCAGACATTTCTGTCATTATCCTAAGTGGTAAGGTTTCGCGGCTTTGAAAGTCTTTCTCCCATTGTTTTTTTGCTAGTTTACACTTGAATCTTTAATCCCCTCAGCCCAAACCGCCGC